ATTAATATTACTCAGTACTTAAATGTATAATTACACTGTAACAAGAACATCTTAAAATAAAGGTTAACCATTACATTTTAAAATATATTCAAATAGAAAACTCTTATTTTACATTATATTAATATTTCACAGCGTTACTGTTTTTGATGTATTTTGATCAAATAAATGCAGGCTTGCTGAGCATAAGATAGCCTACTTAAAAAAAACAACAAAAGAAAATAAAAAAATAAAAAAACTGGACCGACCCAAAACTTTTGCACAGTGTATAGTGAGTAGTTTATATTGATATATTATAAGGATATGTTCACAAAACAACTCATGAAACTAATATCACAGTATCTGTAATTGACCTTTTAGTGTGCACAATACATCACTTAAATGTGCCATTTAGTTTCAAAATCAACAGCTGTAGAGGCATTTTTCTTTTCAACCTTCAAAAGTCTTATGTTATGTCATTCCCCAGTGCTGAAAGACAGTCACCAGACATGATTTTGGATGGAGTTACATATTTTAGATGATGTACTAGATTCATATCAAGTCAGAGATATACTCAGAATACTCAGAGAACACACCAAAAAATGCAGGGATTTTATTTTCAATGAATCATAATCAACAGCTGTAGAGGCATTTTTCTTTTCAACCTTCAAAAGTCTTATGTTATGTCATTCCCCAGTGCTGAAAGACAGTTGATTTTGGTGATTTTGGATGGAGTTACATATTTTAGATGATGTACTAGATTCATATCAAGTCAGAGATATACTCAGAATACTCAGAGAGAGAGAAAAAAAACACAAAAAAATGCAGGGATTTTATTTTCAATGAATCATAATATTCCATGTCAATACCCCTTAACTGCCATTCACTGAGGAACACCAGATGGGTGTCAGAAAACCTAAAAAGTCTATCACTCTTTCTTGCTGGACTAAACTGAACATTGCAGCCAGTGCTAAAGCCGTTCTTCTCAAAGCCATAAAACATCTGAGTTGTTAATCCCAAAGTGGTCTATAACGTGTCAGTCTGTACTGCTTTGTTTCAATCAAACATCTTTTTGCAAAGCAGATTTTCTGTATTGGAAAGGAATGAAAGGCCACACGCAATTGTGCCGTCAAATCGCTCTCAGACTTAATCCTGGCTTCTCCACCTGTTCACCGGACTGTATAGCTCACACACTAGTCTCTCGGGGCCCCTCTGGGCCCCACAAAAACATCTTGGTGGGTTTCATCTTATGAGGCTGGGACCCCCTCTCAGTGCTCATTATTTTGGGGTGGGGGCTGACTGGCGCTCCAGCCCTTGTTTGTAGTAAGCAGGGGTTTCCTTTTATTTCTATGGAATGTCGCATGTCATTCATGGGCTGTGTAAATCTGTTGTCATCATCACAGGCTTTTCTGGTCCTTGTTTTGGATCGGCAGGGCTCAGATGTCGTTCTGATGCGATAGCCAAATGAAGTTCCATAAAACAATGGCAGGACGCTAAGAGTGGGAGAGGGAGACGGGAACGTTAGCGCTGTAGCTGTGGCCGGATAACGTGTTTTGACTATGAGTTTGGCATCAGATGCTTTGTGTGAACTTCTGTTTGATCTGGTTCTCCGATATATGCCATCTGTTCCTTCAGTCTTCTCTGTAATGTCATATGCTTGTTTGTCTTCTATGATATTAAAAGATTTGTCAGTGTCACATTGATTTCCCATGATTTCATGTTGTCTGTTGTCATCTGTGATGTCTTGTGGATGTTTTCCCTCAGTCATGTCAGTCTCAAAAGTTTCCTCAGGAGTATCTTTCTGTATGTCATTCTGCCAGGTATCTGTAATGTCATATCGTATGCCATCTGTGAAATAATTTTGTCCTTCATCTTCTGTTTTATTGATGGTGATGTCTTGTTTTTGGCTCTCCATGGTGATGTCACGCTCTCTGAGTTCCTCTGTAATGTCTTGCTTCTCATGTACCTCTGAGCTGCTTCTGAGGAAAACAAATTGTCAACACTTGAAGGAAAAAGGTAGAAAACCACTTTCAGCTGACTGTTTACACCACTTCTTGTTTAAACTATAAGAAAATTCCAGCCAAGTAACACGCAAAGCATGTTGACTATAAAGTTTACATATTTGTTCACAGATTAAAAGACTGTTCGTCTGGAGGGCAAAATAATTTTACAGCACATTACTCTTAAAAACTATGCGGTTTCAGGTGTCCAAACATTATAAAGAGTGATTACATCATAAGGCTAAGTTAACCAGAAATCCCTTCTCAAATGCTGCACCCTGGAGACCTATGTTCAGAGAGACGAGTTTTGCTAGCCTGGAACATGAGCGAAACCTGCAAATACCAAATGTGAAATGATATTCGCAGCCTGACCTACAGCTGTACAGCTGCCACGATACTGAGATACAGAAAAAATGAAAACATACAGTGGACATGGGAAACTTAGAACATGGACGTGAAAATCTGTACAATTGTCTATGGTAATTTGAGTAGACTGGAGAACTTATGCACTGTTGGCTCTCTGAAAATGCTTTACAGGTGGGCATAAGTAAATCTTTGTAGATCAGTGATTTTTTTCGACATTGATTAAAAATGCATGAAATACGCAATGTATGTGTACGATGAATACATTGTTTGTATTAATTTCTGTATTAAAATTCATTTTGATATTTTTCTGGGGGCATAAAATAAAAATGTCTTTGTGATCAACTGTCCTGAAATCATAACAACGAAAAGAAGCCTCAAAGTCATAAAAAAAAAGAAAAGAAAAGAAAAAACAACTGAAAATGAGTTAATCTTTTATTATCATCATCTCTCAATATGTATATCTACATATATTTGTAAAATACTTTTTCATTTGATTTAAATATAGCGGTTGTAAAATGTAATGCGATGCAACTCCCCAAAAATTTAATTATATTTCTAAATAAATGTATTTGTGATATATATATACATATATTTACATATATCGTTGAATATTAATTCAGAAATGTAATCATATTTTGGGGGAGTTGTACCACATTACATCTATCTATCTATCTATCTATCTATCTATCTATCTATCTATCTATCTATCTATATCTAAGTAAGTATTCCAGGCCTGGGGTGCATTATGAGTGGGTCCCCTCTTCCTTGGCCGAACGAATAGCCTATATCATATAGAGGACCTTAGTGGGACCCCCTCACCCCCTCAGGGGCTGAGACAATGTTCCTACCTTGACGACTGCCTGCAGCTCAGTAATATCTGTTGGGAGCCATTGTTGAGTTAAATTTACTTCATCTGTGAGCATCAGGTTAATGCCATTCCTAGCATGAGTTACTCTAGTCTGGCCTCCTCTGTTGTGAGTTTCCATGGAAGTGAGAACTTCACACTGTCGCCAGCTGAATGCCAGACACTAACCACACAGCTCACAATGACACTTAATACTGCCTCAGTGGCACAGAGGACTCATGATATCACTCATGTATCCTCATTAACCGCTCAAAGGGGATGGATGAATGAGTCCATTATTTTTGGCATTTGAAAATGCTAGCCATCTATTTCGTTTCATGTAGTTTTTATTGTACAAGGGCTCTTTACCCTTAACATGTTCTCACTCCCAAGGCATCCATTACTGCTGCATGTTTAAGTGACATGCTGTCAATGAGAAACAGTTGCCGTCAGTGGAGTGCTGCGGCCTTCCGGGATGGTTTTATTATAGTACAAGTGTAGTAACCATGTTTTTTGGCATACTGATTACCATTTGTATAACCACAGTTTTACTACAAATACCATGGTTAAACTATGGTTAGTGTAGGAAAACCATGGTTAATTTGTGGTTACCATACTTTAACTATAGTAACCATGTTTTTTTGTTTTATCTGTAGTAAAACCATGATTCGTTTTCTTAAGTTTTTTTTTTTTTTGGTGGCCAACCCAGAAGTTAGCATCACCCTGGTTCCCAATAGGATTTTTGCACTGCCTTTTGGATTGCAGAAAATAAGCTCAGTGACCAACAAAAGTTTATGATTCTTAATGTAAGGTTTAATGTGCCCAACAACATTAGCCGCTACTTATTAAAAGCCGCTTTTTCAATACAAGTAGGATTTAGAAATATCTAATATAAAATAAATATCTTGAGCATGTATTAACCACAGACCTTATTTCAAGGGATAGTTCACCCAAAGATGAAAATTTCCTCATGATTTACTCACCCTCAAGCCATCCTAGGTGATTATGACTTCAGGTGTATATTCTTTCAGACGAATACAATATGAGTTATATTAAAAATGTCCTGGCTCTTTCAAGCTTTATAATGGCAGTGAATGGGTGGTGATATTCAATAGTCCAATAGAACAGGGGTTCCCAAACTTTTCAGCCCATGACCCCCAAAATAACGGTGCTAGTACCTCGGGACCTCCACTTTTCTCTGAGGTGGTTAAAGTATACAAACGTTTTGCACAAAGGCGCACATGCACTTATAGCATAATGACAACACAAAGGAATACAACAGTCTAACAACAATAACATGATTTTATAGTAATTTACTCATTACTTACATTTTAACATTAATCTTAATTAGTTGGGTGGGCAACATGCTGGAGTACAAAACTCCACGTTGGAGTTTTATTTTTAATTCAACTTATATTTTTTTATTTATGGGTAAAATATGCTATTTCTAATCCTTTAAAAAAAAAATTGATTTCTGGAAATTATCTTGCAACCCCTCCTCGTGGTTTCGCGACCCCTACTCTGGGAACCCCTGCAATAGAAGTCCAATAAGGTACATCCATCCATCATAAAAAGTGCTCCACACGGCTCCGCGGGGTTAATAAAGGCCTTCTGAAGCGAAGCGATGCATATGTGTAAGAAAAATATCCATATTTACAACTTTATAAACCGTAATCTCTAGCTTCTGCTAACTGCTGTACGCTCGTTCACGAGAGAGTGGCGTTCCAGCGGATGATGTAGGACGTAGACGTAGCGTAAGCTCCGGTGAGAATATGCTAGTCTTGAGATAACCAAGTTTTGTTTCAAGCAAAGGAAAACCAGTCTCCTCTTGGCTTATATCGAAATCCTCCAACATTTTTCTTTACAAATCCTCATTTTGTACTTCTAATTCGTGACCAGTGTTTTGTTTTGCTCTCTCCTCTGTGCTTCCTCATTCGTCACTTCTCACCGGAGTTTATGCTACGCCTACATCCTACATCATCCGCTGGAACGCCACTCTCTCGTGAACACGCGTACGGCAGTTAGCGGAAGCTAGAGATTAAGGTATATAAAGTTTTAGATATGGATATTTTTCTTACAAAAACGCATCGCTTCACTTCAGAAGGCCTTTATTAACCCACCGGAGCCGTGTGGAGCACTTTTTATGATGGATGGATGCACTTTTTTGGGCTTCATAGTCTCGACCACCATTCACTGCCATTATAAAGCCAGGACATTTTTTAGAATAACTCTGATTGCATTTGTCTGAAAGCAGAAAGTCATATACACTTAGGATGGCTTGAGGGTGAGTAAATGATGGGGTAATTTTCATTTTTGGGTGAACTATCCCTTTAAGGAATTTAACCAAAAACCTATTTAAAAAAAAACATTGGCTTTAGGTCGATGGAACCTGACAGGCTAAAATACAAACTCATTTTGGGGTTTTAGCCTACAAAAATACATCACCCCTACAGCACTCTATAAAGACAAAGGGGAATTGTATCGTCAATAAATTATGTTTAGGGAATATTGTTGTCACCATGACATGATATGCTGAGGTATGATTTTCAGTTTGAACACCCAAATCTATTTCTCAATATAAAACACGTAATAAACAAATAAAAATAAAACAGACCCAAATAATTGATTATCGCATCCAAGCATCTGATTTCACCATAAATTGCCACCTGTAGAAGCCTGTAAGTGTTAAAGCCACTAGCCACTAGTGTTTCATGATAGTGAAACTCTAAAGTTCTTATTCGCTTTGGAATGAGATATTAATGTGTTCACGGAGCAGGAAGACACTTTTTGTGTCGATATACTGACACGTTTTTTTAAATGGTATTTTCGGACGGGGTTGTTTACCTTGGTTAAAGTTATAGTAAAAGTAAGTGAAGCGTTCTGAAAGCAATGTCAGTTGTCCGTTTCATTATGTGCTTGATCAAACCCTCTTTTTGAAGTTGTAGGCCAAGCTCTGTTTTAAAAACTCTGTTCTAAAAGTTTTAGTTTTACCTATTTTCCTGTCCCGGTGCTGTATCTTCTCCCTGCTCCTGCGGCTGATATGATGAAGGCAGGTAGAGATGTAGTAATGGGGTTAGATTGGGACTCTGCTCTTCATTAGAATGTTGAGGTCTATCTTGAAGGACATTTTGTTCATCTTTTCTTCTCCAGATAATCTTGCATATGGGAGTTTCTCCATAAAGAATGACACGAGAATTAGTGTGTGAGACTGTGAAAATTATCTTTAATTTGCTGCTCATGTTTTGTGTCTTGTAAGCATTTGACACTATTTACTCTGAGAAGGAGAACATAGCAGCAACGTTCTTCCGCTAGTTTATAATGTTGATCATGAGACCTTCGAGATGACATAAACAATTTACTCATGTTAACAGGTCAGTTACACTTGTCTCAGATTCAAAACTCGCAGTGTGCCTTTGCTCACAGAATAACTGTTGAATCTCAGGAGAAATACATTTCTGTAGGAGTTTTGGGAACGTTAGCTTCAATTTTGTTGTCAAATATTTAATTGGGTTTATTTTATATGGGAGATTATTTCGATTTTTAAAAAAAGTTAAATGCACATTTCCTGAATCAAGAGGGCAAATCAATAGAGTATTTTAACATATGCAAACAAGCTGCTCTTTAGTGAAATGCAAAAGGAGATGTTATGCAGAATGAAAGCCTGTGGAAATGTTGCTGAAAATGTATTCACCTTCAGGCCTTTCAAGATGTAGATGAGTTTGTTTCTTCATCAGAACAGATTTGGAGAAATTCAGCATTACATCACTTGCTCACCAATGGATCCTCTGCAGGGAATGGGTGGATTATTGTGATTATGTGTTTTTATCAGCTGTTTGGACTCTCATTCCGACGGCACCCATTCACTGCAGAGGATCCATTGGTGAGCAAGTGATGTAATGCTGAATTTCTCCAAATCTGTTCTGATGAAGAAACAAACTCATCTACATCTTGGACTGTCTGAGGGTAAGTAAATTATCAGCAATTGTTTTTATTTTTGAGTGAACTATTCCTTTAAACAAAAAGATTCAATTCATTTTAATGGTTCAAAAAATGGTATAGGTTTCACAGAGAGACACCATAAAGTGTTTCATAGTGGTACCTGGTGTGCTTAGTGCTCGACATCCCATCTGATTATCCAGTGGGACAGTGAAAGGCCGGTGGCTTGAATCCAGCAGGACTCTCTGTCTGTGTGTACTGCTTCCCGCTCTCGCTCTCTCTCTCTCCTCAGTTTTTTTTATCGCAGTGAATGCATCCCTTACCTTCAGTTCACCCTCTGTTTCAACACAGTCTCTACTGTATTCCTGTCCTCTTGCAGAGATGGAATGAGATCTGTCTTTCTCATCTTTATGGGGTGGTGAATGTGATGTGGAGCAGTTGGAGGGTCGTGGTGACAGGACACATCGCACTCCACATGCTGTAAGAACATAAACAGATATCTTGATTAATAGGGTTTAAACAGCTTTAACTGCACCCGCTGCAAACAACAACTGAATCTTAGTAAAGTATTAGGCAAATTTATTAACTGCTATAGCTGAATAATAACCAGGATAATGTACAGTTATATGGTTATTATTGCAAAATAAACCTGTTTAATATGATCACCCTTATGGGTTTTATTTAGCAGTAATCACCGGCTGACTGTGCATTATATAATATAATATAAATGGATAATGTGTATGTTTTGAACACATTATAAAGAGATATTTCTGGTTACATTTAATATAAGATATTATAAAATAATATAATACACAGTATCTGTTCTGTACAAAAACCCATTAAATATGTAATGTAGTGTTTAAATATATATTTAATCCTTTGCTTAACATTTTGCTCACATTTTAGAGAAGCATTGACAAATAAGTTACCTATGAGCAGAGCTTTTTTGATTGTGAATGATTTCCTGGTGTTTTTTTCAGAGAGGTTTCTTGAATCTCTAAGGGACCTCCCCTGAAGCATGCTGTTGCTATAGGCACCAGTGTTTGGAGAAGATGATCCATGTTGATGTATTGGAAATGTTTTAAGAGGTGTGACCCCTCTCTGGTTTGTGACTTGGAGCTGCAGTCTTTGTTTCACTATGGAGTTCCATGCCATTGAGCCTGCTGTTCTGACAGGTCCTGTGTGGCCTCTGAAGCGTCTCACGGGACAGAAATGCATCGCATGGCTGTGCCCATTTTGTTCACGGGTCAACATGGGGCACCTGTGATTGCTTACAAGTTACACCTAGAGAATGTAAGAAGAAAGAACGACAGAGAAAACACACAGTAAATTATAAACATAAATCTTGTGCTGACATGTGCTGGGTCATTTCTGTTATGTATTAAGTTTTGAACTTGCTATGTCTTTAAGGACATACTTCTATAAAAGGGTGTTCTAGACTTCCAAAAATATGTTCTGGTCAAACTCAACTTTATTAATGATGACTTGATTATTTACACAATAGAAAGAAAATGAACATGATGCAATCTAACAAGATGAAAATAAAGAGCTGAATGTACCCATAGATATTTTTAACTACTTTTATAATTATTATAATTATCATACGGATTTCTATGATATTTCAAATAGAATGGAATATACAGAGCGTCTAAAGGGACAAAACTTTTCCATTCCACCAAGAAAATTTTTGTATGCAAACACACAACCGGTGATTATATTTTAAATTATATTTAAATGCTTTTGTGTTTGCTTGTAACTTTGCATTTACCGATTATATTTGTGTTCACTTTTCAAATATTTGGTTCTCTCTCAAAATTTTGAAAGCGAATGCAAGGTGAGATGGAAGGAAAAGCTATATTTCAATGCTTTTTTTGAGTGAGCGCAAGTTTCTTGCATTAATTCAGAACTTTTATGCGAGAATGCAAAAGCTTTGCAAGTGAATGGATAGAAAGTAAAAAATGGATGAAAAGTAAAAAAAAAATGAAAATTTTGAATAAATATCAAATCAAACAATATTTATAAATTTCAAACATTTTGATTACAGAAAGGAAAAATATGGAGAATCTCCTGAAATCACCTGTAATATATAGCTTTTTTCATGTTAGATGTTAGTGCAGCACACAGGGACAATTATTATTATATAAATATAATATAATAATATAAAACGAACTACATTTACATTTATTCATTTAGCAGACGCTGGTTTCCATATTAAAAATTGTGGGTTTAATATTTTATCTTATATATTAAGACATAAAACAGGGTCATGAAAATGTAGAATGAGGAATGGATTATCTGTCAGTCAGTGCCAGTATGATTCATTTAAATCACAGCTGCATCAGCTGCCTGCACGTTTCCCATGTGTTCTCTGTGTCCAACCCTCTCGCTCAGCATTTTGATGTTTTATGATTTTGGACAGTCAGTTAATCTATAATTCCATGATGAAAAGGCTTCTGGCATATGGAATGTGAGGTCAACAGTAACACCAAATAAGGGCATCATCATTAGTCTATAATTAGCTTATAAGTTGTGAAGGTTTTATTTTTCGCTTTGTGTTTTCTCCAGTGTTGCAGCAAGACGTTCAGACAAGCTTTAGGCAATAAACTATATTTTTATTCATTGTATGTTGAACAGGATAAAATGATGTGGATATAACAACTGTATCCAAAGCAACAGATGTTGAGCTGCTTTTTTATGTTTTGCATGCATACATATGCTTATCACATACGGTCTAAATGTTTATCTTGCATTGATACCAGAAAATTCAGAGGATTTTCTTGTGAAAAAGCATACATTTAACGATGCAAATAAAATTTGTTAAAATAATGTACTTACTTCAAGTGTGAATTGAATGTAATGTTTTCGGACACTGTTATTCGCAATGCAATGAAAATGTATTATAGTTTAAATGCATATGAAATGCAATTAGTTGAACTTCAGAGTGTTTTTGACCCACATAAGTAGGACTTAAATACATCTTTATATGTAATTAAATAATTACTTCTATTGTCATTGAAAAACTGTGTGGTTGTACTGTGGACTGACAAGCATTTATGTTAAACTAAAATATACTTTTATTTCTATTGAAAATTGTATGTCATGTATTTAAATAAATTTGCACATTTGTATTGATGAAGTTGCGATTTGGTACATTTAAAATATATTAATTTTAATTATTTAATAAATAAATTGAATAAATTGAATTTTAATGTAATATTGCTTAACACTACCGTTCAAATGATAATCAAGTACTTTACATGCTTAAGTATGTTAGCCAGCACATCAAAATAAGTGTACTTCTTTAAAGCACAACAAGATTATTGAAAAAATGGTTTAAAATTAACTTGCAAGTGTACTGTCTTTAAGTACACTTAAGTGGTCTTTTATTTCAGTCATATTTTTTTGTTTAAAAATACTCTTTTTAGATTTGACACTACAAGTGGACATTCAGTACAATTAAGTGTGCTTCTTAATCAAAAGGGTTTATCTGAAATCATCTCCTGACAAGCGAGCAGAAGCTAGGTTTGACAACGTTTCTAGTCTGTGAATAGGCAAAAATACATGGAGAAGGGTCCTCATTACACCATGCTCCCACAAATACACAACATCTGTAAATCCTTAAATGATCCACCAACCAAAGAGATACATACGTTCTCTTTCATGTGGCCCAACCCTGAAAAGGGATTGTTAATGAAAGCCCCTCCGGTTCCTTTGTGGAACAGGGAAACAAGATTTCCTCACAAGCTTCAATCTGTTTGTTCGAGAAGGTTGCTCTCTTACCTGCCTGTAAAGTTTAGGTCCAAAGTGATTCTTCTGCTTTAACACAGTGTTTTAAACTCCAGTTCAAAAGTGTATATGTCTCTTCGGTGAAGGTTTGACCATCTTTGGAGTTTTCTAGGGAACTTGCAGCTTTGTGGTTTGTTTAGAGTCTGGTGGCAAAGGTGAATGAGCAAGACCTATTATGTAGTCAATGGATACAACAACAAAACCTCGTATGAGCTCCATGTAATTATGTGTTTCAGTGTTAAACCAGAGCACCGGTTCAAACGAGACTGCTCAGCGTTTCCATGATTTCTTTTCTGATTTCATACTTGACAAATGTGTTCACATGCGCAGCGTGATTGATCTATCCATCTGTAATCTACATTCTGTGCATTTGGTCATTCGAAAGCTAGCGAACTACAAAAACATCAAAGATTGTGAAACACATCACAGATTGATTAACATTCTCGTTCCCGTTCCCCTCCCCAGCCTCCCACCCATTGTTAAACTGTCAGGGCATGATGATGGCTGCTAGCTAAAGAAAAGCATGTTTTAGATTTATAAGCATGTGTATTCATTCCAACTCACCATGTACCTTCGTTTCCAATAACAATAATGCTTTGTCCATCTATTACAATTATGAATAAGTGGCCTGATAGTCCAAATTTTGTTATCATAAGTCTCCTTTACTCACCAAATATGCCCTGTCTTTCTGTCAGCACACTGGCCAATGCAAGCCCCCATGATCCTTTGGTGCCGCTGACTTATGTCAGTTCTACAAACGTACATTACCTTGCAGTACAGGTGATGTAATGTCCACTGAGAGAACGCTTGCAAAACAAGCTCGATTTAAAATTTTGGCATTTCAACTAGCAAGCATAATAAAATCGCTCTGTCTGATGGGTTTTACAATGAGGGAAATGTGTTTTAATCATTTTAAGTTCTTCAGAAATAGCTGGTTTTGTTCCCTCAACACCCCAGAATAAATATAAGCTGACTGTATTATTTAAAACATATAATAAATGTATGTATATATGTATATATTGCTGTGCTTTTTGTATAATGACAACATTCCAAACAGCCAACTATAACATTAACATTATAAAGTGAATGTCTCAGCATATTATGGATTTACACTTTATCCGGTGAGAGGCAGGGGTCCAGTTTTTGCTTTACATCCAAGAGCTTTTTCTTTTCTCCATTCTTCTGTTGATTTTCACATATGGAGCCAAGCTTGCTGCTATGTAAACATCCTATCATGTGTATTAGCAGAACCACATTGCATTAAAATTGCCCACTAGCAGTGAACAGATACTGTAACCGCTCCAACCAAGCTCTTCAGTGATCTTCCTTATTATTTTAGCACTAAAGCACGATAACACACATTCTCTTTTAATGCGATTTGCTTGGTGCTGTGCTTATGTTGGATAATATCAGTGAGAACCCAATGTTTTACAGTTTATGCTGACTGTGACAGCTGCTCACTCATTATTCCTCTACATTTCAGATGGATCAAAGAAGACAGTTGGCGATTAATTCACAGAGGGAAGTCTCAGGGTAAGGAATGCAACGAACTCTCACTTTATCGACTTCAATATCATCTCAAACAAACAGTTCGGTGCTGTAGAAATTCAAGCAGCACTTATTACAGCCTGAGGGTTAAGGTATAGATCGCATATAAACGTCCATTTCATTTTTCAACACTCAGTTTGAGGTCTAAAACACATCAGGTTCCGTCGACTGACCTCCTTGAATAGATTCAGCATCTCACAGAGCCTAATAGAGAGAGTCTAATGAATTTACAGCTATAATATAATGAAATATAATCACAAACTTTTGTTGAAACATTTATACTGAAACTAGTAGGATAAATATTTAGTGTTATTGTATATTATGTTTATGTATATATGGTTAATGTCATTGACAGACAGAAGGAAATATTTAGACATAAAAAAATATTTCCTGAAATATATTTGAAAATTTATTTCATATTTCATCTTAAAAATGTACACTATTTTCTGAGTGCATATTCCTGGTGTTATTGTGCACGATTCATCAGTAGACATTTTAAATCTTTGTAATTTCCGCAAACAAGATGTCATAACTTTGTCTTCCTCTTTTCAGCTGATATCACAAATTTAAAGGGATACTCCACCCAAAACTAAAAAGAATTCTCTCAACATTTACTGACCGTCATGCCATCACAGAATGTACTTTCTTTCTGTATGTACTTTCTTTGTTCTGTGTGACACAAACAGAGAAAGTAATCTATTTCTATATAATTTCCATTTCTTCATCCGAGTCTATATAATGCAAGTGGATGCGACCCTCCACGCTGATGCTTCAAAAACCACGCAAAATAAAACTGTAATCCATACGACCTCAGTTGATGAATCAGAGTCTTCTGAAGCAAAACAATAGGTGTTTGTGAGAAAAATACTAATATTTTAAATGTT